TATTGTAGTAGACTACATTCCCAAACATACCAACAGATTTCTTGCCAAACATTTTATGTATTATGTTTTTTTGTTTTCATTAATTATTTTCTATATTTGGAGTGCAGAGTAATACACAGGCATAAGCAAAGGCTTGCACAACATAGTGAATCACTGTAATCATACATAAGTAGAAGAAGCCAAGAAATGCTACACTTTTTTTTGTCAAAAGAGAAACAGGAGTAAGGCAATATGAGATAATATATTGATAAACAAGGTATGAAACAATCAAGTGACACACTTGGCTGACATGACTAGTTTGCAGGAGTTTTGACTGTGACATGAAATGTAAGAGCAAGAAAATAAAAAATATTAGATATCAGTCTACCTATCCAGGTCAAATAGGCCTCATAAACTTATAACATAGCTATATGTGCCAGATAGGAGTGTAAAGGATGTGGATAGTGTTTCCCATAGGGTCTTATGTTACTGCAGAGAAATTGAGGTATATAGGGGTAGTGTATGATCTCTATGGAATGATTTTTCCTTGTGTAGGAGTACAATAAAGCTATGTAGTGTAACCATAAATGGGGGCTGGGGGTGGGGGTGAACTATGCGTGTCTTAATGTTAAACTGGGTAGCAAACCAGCTAAGGTAATGTCACCGTATCGTCAGATCTATGTGGCAAACCTGGGATTAGCGGTTGATCGGAGGGCCGTTTAGGTGACCCCATAGATTTAGAGGCATAAAAGTAAAGAAACAATATGGACTGCTATTGCGCCTGTGTGGTGGAGGGGAGAAACTAAGCAAAAGAGTCAACATAAAATCATGAGAAAGGGTAGAGGTGAAATTCAAATTGTGCTTCAGGAGATTGGTGGTCATTGTCCAGTCCATGGCAGTGTAGGAACACTGGATGCTCATCATGATCGCCGACCCACATTGGATTCTTTCCTGGTCCAATCGAGATAAGCCGGTCTCCTCATTTTCAGCTGATGACATGATACCCTGGGCTCTCATGAGATCCTCCGGCTCCTGGTATGTGCCCGTTCGATGTGTTGTACCTTGAATGGTGAGCAGGATGGCGTGTGGTAGGCTTCACCGGTATGGAATATCCTGGGTCCGGAGCACTTGCAAGAGGGGTCAGCTCAGAGTGTTTCTAGTTAGATCCGGAAAGATGAGCAGCGTCGCTCTTTCAAAGGCGATTGGGGTCTTCCCTTGGACAGCCGCCAAACGTGAGGCCTTGTCTTGCAGGGATTGGAATCGGAGTATATGAGATCTGATGCTGTGTCCTGCTGGGCCCCTGCTGGCCTGGGGAGGCGGAACATGCTGTCCAGTTTCACGGCTTTAGCTTGTTTGCACGGGAGGAAGGCTTCCATGAACTGCAAGGTGAAGTGAGGTAGGTCTGCAATCCCCAGTGATTCAGGTACTCCCCTTATCTTAAGGTTGTACTGCCTCCGGTGATCATCCAGTGCATTAATTCTACAGTCGCTCTGCTGTAGTTTATGCTGTAGGTTCGCCAGATCCTGGTTATGTGAGTGCTATGGGAGGTTTCTAGCTGGGTGAGCCTCGAAGTGTTGCTCTCGATCGCCTTTCTAAAGTGGGCCATGTCTCCCAGTAGGTTCGCTCAGAGTTCTAAGAGCATCACCTTCAATTGTGATGCCGTGACCGGTTCCCGTTCCTCCGACGTTGGGGGGATAGGTCCCATTTTTTTGCTAGAAGTGGTCCCTTCACCCAATCCTGGGGAGAAGTCCTCAGAGGAGTAGGATGAGCCCTCATCCAGGAGCGCCATATTGTCCTATGCGACCTTCTGCGAGCAGCGAAATAACTCACCAATGTCACGGCTTAACAGCCTTTTATCAGCTTTCAGTCGTTTATTCTTGCTTACCATGCTGTCAGGTGTGTAAGGGTGGTGATAGAATCGCCTATTTCCACCAAAAAAGTGAGTTTTAGGGCATTAGTTTGCAGAGCACGGGGAGAGTGTGACTGCTCTCTATGTATTATTTTTTTTTTTATAACTAATATACATTCCTGCTAATGTTTCTGAACTTATTGCAAGGAATCAACAATACTTTATACTTGCCAATATTTGCACAAAACAATAGAAAAAGTAGCCTTTTCTGTAAATATACATTTTTGGTTTGTAATTGAACAGCAAAAAAAAATTACAAAAAAATGTAATTATTCACTTTTTGCCCTGACTCCACATCAATTCATTTGTATATATTTCTTTTGTTAACGTTTTGTTAATGTTAATGTGATCATTTTTGTTTTCTGCTTTTTTGGCATACAGGGAATATGATAATGAAGAGATTAATTAGAGCACACAATAGACATTTTAAAATTAATTTCAAAAAAGAGTTTGTTTGCGAGAAGAGGTTAGAACATATTGACAAACAATTTGTTATATTAAGTCCAAAAACATCAAGTTGGAAATTTTTTTCAAATATACCAAAACTAATGGTTTTCCTACATATTTATTTTGACCTTTAATTTTGCAGCTTACTATCAAAACTCGCCACTTAGTATATAAATTAATTAAACTTAAAGAACTTTATTATTACCAGTGTTATTACTGTTATTACTTTCGTTATTATTGTATTTACCATTACACAGGCATCCTTCCACACCAAGGAATATTTTAGAGCAAAATCACAATTTGAGCCCGTGCTACCTTACATTATAAATGAGGTTTCTGCAAACCACCTGCAGTTTTACATTCACTAAATAGTCCATTAAAAACCTTGTCAAAATGTCAGAATAAGCTTTTTAGATTTTAACATATGTATGGAAGACTGTTCGGACCAGTGGGGTTCTAGAAAGAACCTGTTCCATTTGCAGAAAGCCAAAAATGCAAATGTAAGTATAGGGAAATAAATAGAAATGAAACTCAGGAATGCAGTTGGCTGGGGTCTATCCAGAAAGGTATTCATTTGTTGTTTACATGAAAAGATTTTGTTTTAGAATTATTACAAAGCTGTATGCTTATCAAAAACTATGCTAATCTACTAAAAACACATTGTAAATTAAAATCCATATTTAAGCATTTTCAAAATTTACATGGTTAACTTTAGCCTTTTCCTTTCCATTTTGTTTCAGTCCCTTTTACAATAACTTTTTCCAGGAAAAAAAATAAGAACAAGGGTTTGAAGTCTCACTGAACATGTAATTTTTACAAGTTATTTGTAGTACTTGTACAATGCTAAACAAATCTTTTATGATAACCACTGCAGATTGCCACATGCAGAGTGATTATTCAAAAAAGGTGTGAATGTGTGTAAATAAAATGAATATATACATTAGATTCCCACTACAGATAAAGGCATTTAACCCTTTGAATATCCATATGGGCAGTAAAACTACTGCTACTACTAAACTCCGAAATACAAAGACAGTACTAACAAACAATGCAATTTGTTTCGGTCCTAATTTAAATTCGGATGAATTTCGGCAATTCGGGCATTCGGATGCTTCCAAATGTCCGAATTGCTGAAGTGCTGAATTGTGGAAGTGCCGAACCGAATTGCCGAAGTGCTGAACCGAACCAAATTGCTCAGGTGACGAATTTTGGAAGTGCTGAAGTGCTTTGGATTTCTGAAAAGTGGCAAAACAGAAGAGGGAGGGAAAATTAAAGGAATGATGACAGGAATATAAGCCTAAACCTACCCCTAACCCTACCCCTAACCCCAACCCAACACTTATCTAAACAATATTTGAGAGAAATAGGCCTTTGGTGTACATAGAAAAAGTCTAAGATGTTTGAGTTCAGCTCATGAAAAATGGGGGCAAAAACAAAAGTGTTGTGTTTATAATTTTGTTCAGTGTATATTTTATTGCTCTGTATCTCTTATCTATACGATATTGTGTTTAATTATAGCATAATTGAAAGGAACAGATAATTTTTTTTCTCTTAAATGACTATATATACATTAACAGTTATATTACATAATTAAAAAACTAGCAATAAGATACACTGCAGAAATATAAATTTTTTTGAAAATGACAAAAAAGTATTTATAAATAATAAACAAGTCTATATGTGAATTAATTCTCTCTCTGGTAACTTGCTCACACTAAGAGAAACAATAAACACATGGTGCACTCAAGGATAATCGAAGGAATCTCCTCCTCACTGCTGAACTGTGATTCCTATTTAGAATCTAAGTGAATTGAGATCCCTATATAGAATCCAAGTGAAAAACTAAAAGCATTTTTTTTAGCCAATTTGTCTTTATTTACATGTCATATTTGCACTGTTAGCCTCTTAATCATTAAATAATAATGGAAACAAGAAGAAAATAATAAAGGTAAAAGTAAAAAAGTAATTTTTTCGATTCACACTAAATGGATATATACAGCTTTCGAAATCTATTTTCACTTCTGCAATTTCCAACTATTTGATTTATACAAATGCAAATTATATTTTTCCATCTTTTTCCAACTTCCATTAAGTTGTTTCGGAACACTATAAGTGTTTATATTGCTCAATACGTTATCAAAGTATTCCAGTATTCATACGTTGTTGTCATGTATATTTCCTATATATTGTGCCCCACCAGATCCTGCAGTAAATAAACAACATAAGCACTTTAACTGCTAATAAATTCATTTACTTTATATCCTCTGCATGAACTTTCAAATGATATTGTTTTTCTTAATTGGTTTTCATATGTGGAACAGTCATCACATGTATGTACAGGGGTGGTCTGGATATATTTAGCTTGGGGAGAATCTACAAATGTATAGCCCAGTTTGAAGTGGAAAACATATAGCCAACTCCACTCCACAGCTTAATTTATATGAAATGTTTTATACTAATACTGCGATAACTGGAAAGCGATCATAACAGTTTATATAGTTGAATTAAAATATTTAGATATGTTTTGCAGCAGTCCACCTCCACATACTAGTGGTTGTCCCCCTTTATCTGCCCTCTTCTGTTGTCTAATGGAACCCTTTAGATGTATTATTATTATTATTAATAAATAATGTTAATTATTATTTATTTGTTTTATGTAAACTTGCCTACATTGGTTAATATGTGGTGAACATACAGATTATATTGAGTAGCAAAGACCTTTATATTGTTTATTCTTACTTTTTTTTTACTACTGATTTATTATTCTCTATTTATTTGTGTCTCTTAGATAACTTGATTAGGGTCATTTTTCCTTATACCGTTTTGACCATTTTTACCATCTTCAATGTCTGCCTGTTCATAAAATGTTAAATTAGAACAGCTTCTTTTAAGTCTTCTAAGGATGCTTCATCTGCCCTTTTAGTAAATTTTGCAACCACTTAAGGTGATGAAAACTGTGAAAATCAATTGCTGTGTTCCATTCTGTCAGTTTAAAAATGTTCAAGTTCTAATTGTATTATCTTCAGTATATATGGTCAGGTGTAACAACTTGAAACTGTGCGGATTTCTGACACAATATTTAAATTGTAAAAAAAAATAATGCAAATTTCTACAAGGAACTGATCTAAGAAATGTGCATCCCTTCTACTGAAAATGAATACATCATCTATTAAACAAAAGAGGTTTGCATGCAGCTGCAGTAAAGTCCAGATGTTAAACTTCTCCCATTCCATGATATATAAATTGGTTTAGCTGTGTGTGAAGCTTATTCCAATAGCTGTATATTTGGCCATATATCTGGCTAAAATTAGAAGGAAATTGCCGCATACCTATTGTAATCAATATGAAAATGTTAATTATTTTCTTAGTTAGCATACATGAATACAACACATTTTCCTTTAAAGCAACATTCAAATGGAAGTAAATATTTGTTTTTAACAATTTCAGATGTATACCCCTACTGTATATATACATGCATTTATGTTTCATTGGGGGTTATATCTAAAAACATCTTACAAAATATGCATATCTGCTGACTGCATCCTTTACAAGCCTTCCCCTTCTAACTCCATCCAGACTCTATGTAACTGTCCAATCACAGACTTCCGAGTGCAACTCAATGAGAAGTCTTTGCCCCCCATTTTAATCCTGATTAAAACATTGCCATTCTGCAGAGCAACAATATTTTCATTACAGGGTTTAATTGCCTCTAATGGCTGTCACTCTAATGCTGCACATACACACTAGCCTCCCAATGCTTTCTTACAGGAAAGCATTGGATTGTCTGTCATCATCGATCTCAGCAAACGAGATGGAGCCAGATGTAGAGATTAGTGCTGGAAGGGAGAAAAGGTAATGAGGCTGTTCTAGTTCCGATCTGTTCGAGAACCAAATCAACATTTCCCATAAGAATTTATGTAAAATTAATTAATCCAACAAGAAAGAAAAAAAGAAAATTCTTTTAAAGAATGTAGCGCTTAAAAAATAGACAAGTAAATTATCACCTTTTAAAGTTCTGTTGCAAGATAGATTCTCATTTAAATGTCGAATAAGTAAGTATCTAAAAAAGACAATCAAACATAGTGTAGATGGTACATAGCTATAAAATTATATTTGTATATGATTGTTAGACACTCACAAACAGAGAGCTATGGACCCAGCTCTGGTTTGAATCTCTTCTGGGTCCGTATAGGCGACCCACCCCTGCTGTGAATGTATGTCTTGTCCTAAAGGGGAATAAATACACCCAAAATAGCGCAGCACAGTTGGTGGTAGTTTAACATAAAAATACCGTTCTCAATTGGGTACTTACAAACAGAGAGTCTAAATTGACTAAATTCTTGAGCAGTATGCAGATTAGGGACTGCACTCCCAAATGTAGAATGATGGATGGAGAACCAGGATTAAAAGTAAAAAAGGTAAACAAATTTAATACAATCTATAAATTAAAATAGGAACAATGTCCAAGTAAAACTGGAATGCGTTTCACCACTAGGACGTGGCTTCTTCAACCGATCCGGAACGCGTTTCACCACTAGGACGTGGCTTCTTCAACCTTCCAGTCTGTCCAGGGCCCCTTGTTGTTTTGCTGTTAAATGCAGTCCACACAATGCTTAATGGCCACAAGCAGGCAGCGTTGTTCGACAGGCCCACTGAAAAGAATATATCCAGTTGGAGACTTTGTTTTATACTTCACTATCCTACACCCAGTAAAGAGTGGATAATAAAAACAAAAGACACTGTTATGTTCCTTCTGTCCAACCAAAAAAGGTTTAACATTCTCCTACACATAGTCAATACTATTTTATAAATTATTCATTCAAATCTCCAATCTCTCAGTCTTCTGCCCATGCTTGAGTTCAAACTAATTTCTTATCACAGCCACTCTAAACAGTATTATGATTATTATTATTACTAGTATTATTACTGGTATTTGTATAGCGTCAGCATATTCCGTAGCGCTTTACAATATTATCAGAGATTTAACAATAAAAGAGACAATTAAATGAGACAATTACAAAAACTTACAGGAACAATAGATTAAAAAGAGCCCTGCTCAAACGGGCTTAAAACCCAACAGGACAGGAGGTATTTTTCCATGTGTATTATTTAACCCCTTAAGGACGAGTGACGGACGAGGTCCGTCACTCAGGGGAAACCCTTAACGACGAGTGACGGACCTCGTCCGTCACGCGGTAAAATTAACCCTGGATCGCCGCTATTGCGGCGATCGCGGGGTTAATGGTGCTCCGGTATGCCTCTGCATTAGAGGCATACCGGGAGCACCCGGTCAGGCTGCCCAGCACATGTGCTCGCTCTGACCGCAAGTCTGAGCGAGCACATGTGCTCTGTATACTCACCTACCGGCTCCCTGCACTTCCGGGTTCTGTGTGAAGTGCAGGGAGCCGGATCAGTGCTGATCCTGCCCCCTGCTGTTAAAAAAAATAAAGTTTATTTAAAGTCCCCCCCCCCTTACCCATTTTAATAAAAAATTAACCCCTTCCCTGCCAATTGATCACTGACTACAGTGATCAATTGGCAGGGATTACATTTTACTATGATCTGATTTTTTTTTTTAACCCCTGAGGGTTAATTCATTTTTTTTTAACCCTCAGGGGTTAAATTTATTTAATTAATTAATTAAAATATTTTAAAATTATATATTTAGCTAGCTGGGGTGGGTGGAAGTTAGTGGGGAATTGGGGGATTTGGCGTTAGGCTAACTAGGGGTTAACGTTAAAAAAAGTTTTAAAATAACCTTTAAAAAGTAAAAAATTAAGCTTAAAAAATGTTTTAATAACGTTTAAGTAAAAAAAAAAAAAAACGTTTACCTAGTCCAAATAAAAATTAACCCCTTCCCTGCCAGTCGATCACTGCCTACAGCGATCAAATAGAGATCACAGTATTATACTGTGATGTAATTTTTTTTTTAACCCTGAGGATTAACTTTTTATTTATTTTTTAACCCTCAGGGGTTCAATTTATTTAATTAATTAATTTAAATATTTTATAACTATGTATTTTGCTAGCTGGGGTGGGTGGGAGTTATGGGAAAATGGGGAATTTACTGTTAGTGCTGCGTACTGCTAGTTAGGGGTTAACGGTAAAAAAAAAAGCTTAGAAAAATGTTAAATCTGTAAAAAAGTTTTAAGAAAGTTTAGGAAAGTTTAAAAAAAATTAATACGCAAAACAAAAGTTTAAAAACTAGTTTTTAAAAGTAAAAAGTTATAAAAAGTTAAAAAATACATTTTAAAAACGCTCATTACCACTACACCTGGAACAAACTAGAGAAAAAATATCCCACGCCAAGGTTCAAAATATGCCTTTTGAATTACCCCAGGGTGTATTCTTTAATAAATAGTATGTGTTTGTGGGGAAGTTTCAATAACCAACCAGCCTAAACTACTCCAAATTGGAACATGGACACAGCGTAAAACTTCAAAGTTAGAAAAAAACTGAATGGCTGCGTCTCAAATGCGCCCCTTCAACATCCACATATACCTGGCAAAGGTACATACAGGGGTATTGCTGTACTCAGCCGACATAGCTGAGCAACATATGAAGTATTATACAGTCATAGCACACATAAGGTTTGCAAAATATGTTGCACAAACTCACTTTGTATGTCAAAAAGGCAGAAAAAATGCTTATTACCACTACACTTGGTACAAGCTAGCGGAAAAATGATCCCACGCTAAGGTTCAAAATATGAATTTTGAAATACCCTGGGATGTCTTCTTTAAGAAATGGTATGGCTTTATGGGGTATTTGGATTATATAGCCTGGTAAAATACTCTAAAATGGGATATAGGCACAGCATAAAAATTCAAAGTTTGAAAAAAACTGGAATGGCTGTGTCCCAAATGTGCCCCTCCGATGTCCACACATACCTGGCAAAGGTACATACGGGGTATTGCTGTACTCAGCCGACATAGCTGAGCAACATATGAAGTATTATACAGTCGTAGCACACATAAGGTTTGCAAAATATACTGTGCAAACTCACTTTGTATGTCAAAAAGGCAGAAAAAACGCTTATTACCACTACATCTGGTACAAGCTAGCGGAAAAATGATCCCACGCTAAGGTTCAAAATATACCTTTTGAAACACCCTGGGGTGTCTACTTTAAGAAATGGTAGGCCTTTGTGGGGTAGTTTGAATTTAAAACCTGCGAAGATGCTTGGAAATTGCACATAGGCCCAGCGTCAAAATTCAAAGTTTGGTAAAAACGGATATGGCTTGGTCTCCTATATGGCACTGTAGCTTCACGAAATAGTGCCAAAGACATTCATTGGGGTTGTCTTTTTACTCAGAAGACTTAGCTGAGCATAATTTGGGAGGTTTGAACTTAGTGGCACATATGAAATATACAAAACGCCCAGCAAAAATGCAATCCGTATGTAAAAAATGCACAAAATAATTTTTTACCACATACTTTGGCATATATTGGTGAAAAAATGGGGGTATGTTAAGGCACAATATGCACCTTATGAGATACCCTGGAGTGTCTACTTTTACAAATGGTAGGCCTTTGTGAGGGTTTTTTGAACAGTCAAACTGTTATAATACCCCAAATGGAAGCTAAGGCTCATTAAATCCATCTCTCAAAATTCTACTGTGAATACTGTAAAGGACAGGTCTCCTATATGGCACTGTAGCTTCACGAAATAGTGCCAAAGACATTCATATGGGGTGTCATTTTACTCAGAAGACTTAGCTGAGCATAATTTGGGGGTTTGAACTTAGTGGCACATATGAAATATACAAAACGCCCAGCAAAAATGCAATCCGTATGTAAAAAATGCACAAAATTATTTTTTACCATATACTTTGGCATATATTGGTGAAAAAATGGGGGCATGTTAAGGCACAATATGCACCTTATGAGATACCCTGGAGTGTCAAATTTTACAAATGGTAGGCCTTTCTGGGTTTTTTTTGAACAGTCAAACTGTTATAATACCCCAAATGGAAGCTAAGGCTCATTAAATCCATCTCTCAAAATTCTACTGTGAATACTGAAAAGGACAGGTATCCTGTGTGGCACTGTAACTTCACAAAATAGTGCCAAAGACATACAATGGGGGTGTCATTTTAATCAGCAGATGTAACTGAACACAAAATAAAACTTTGTACAGGAATAGCACACACCAACTTTACAAAATATACACGAGAATTTCTTTGTTATAAGTTTGTGTGCCAAAAACCAAAAAAAACACAATTTTACTCCAATATTTAGCAGAGGTTGGCGGTGAAATGGCTACGTAGAAAGT